ATTAGTCTGAATTTTGTCAACTGTCAAAACACACAGAAAGCCTCTTCTGCCCTTCTTCCAACAGTATCTTAAAACCCTACAACGCCAATTGGTGCCCATGTTTGTGTGGTGCTGCTGAGCCTGCAGATAGTTTGTCCGTGCACCTGTGAACTTTGGTCCTTTTCTGATTCCCAAAAAGCAGCAGCACAGGTTAATAGTGTTCAATATTAGTGCAGCAGGAACTGCCGTCACCCCTGCCCAGCTGATCCCCATGACTCCAGGTGTCTGTGTAGGCAGCGCTAAATATCCGTTCACCTCTAAGCTGGATACAGAAGGAAGGTGAAGTAAGTGAAGCACCAAAATCTCTAATCTATGGGAACAGGAAATAAATAAATAGTCTAAATGTACAGAGTAAAAAATGTACCTTATACAGTAAAGGCTGAAGTGTATATTTTAAATTTCCTATAGAGGAAAATTGCTACTGAGGCACTTTGAAAGTGGGTCATGTGACTACCACCAGTGCAGTGTTCTTCTAAGCTCTCCTAGATGGGAACAGAGTTCCGTGGATGTACTACTCACTGATGAGCTTCCTACAGGTATCTGAACAGAATGGTCGCAGCAGAGGCATTTAAAAGGGAGAATTCATTGTTCTGGTTTGGCTCTCAGTTGTCAGCAAATTTAGTGTTTACAGTTCTTTCCTCCTCCTCCCCCTTCCCCCCCTCACTCCTGTGGCGCTCATGATGGGGGGGTGCCATCTTGCCCCTCAAGTCTCGCTTCAGGTTCCTTCTCAGAAGCAGCAGCTTGGTTTCCTGTAAACCGAAAGGAAGAAAGAGGGATTAAACTTGCAACTAAGAGAACAAAAGTTTACTCACTTCACCTGTAACGCCACTGCTTTTAGAGTACGTCTACACTGCAAAAGAAAACCCACAGCAGCAAGTCTCAGAGCCCACATCAACTGACTTGGCGTGAGGGGCTCACCCTACTGAGTTAAAAATAGAAGTGTAGACGTTCCCACTCAGGCTGGAGCTCAGGCACTGAGACTCTCCCTCACTGGGTTTAGTGGCCCAAGCTCATGCCAGAGCAGGTCCTGGAGAAGTGGATGGAATTTGCAAGCTTCTGGGTTATTTTCAGGGAGAGACTTGGACCAGCGATTTCGAACCACTCCAGGGCTGTCTCTTGCTCGCTGGCTGTTGGTAGAGTAGAAGGGGCTTCAGGCTGTAGGCTCTGATCCCACTGTACTTGCCTCCTGCAGCTTGGAAACTTCACTAGAGGGAATAAGAGTGGTTTTGTACCATGGTTTTCAGTTAAGCATGTTGTTTCCAGAAGCCATTTCGGGAAGAGGGGATGGAGTGCCCCAAAATGTTAGCCTCCCTCTTTCATGATCCAAAATAGCATGATGTATATCTGTCCCCTCTACAGGAGACTGAGGCCCTTCTCCTTTCTAATGAATGAAAAGGAGCATTGATAAGACTTCCACTAAAAGAGAAGCCACGAGTTAGGTTGAAGCTTATACCCCTTCCCTCACTCCCAACCACCACCAGCAAACTACTTCTGCTGTGCTTGGATAGCCAGCTGTTTTATGTACACAGCCATGTACCCAAATTCAAAGGAGTGACCAATAATGACTAAATCTTGATCGCACTGAAGTCAGTGGCAAAGCCACCATTGACTTCATTGGGGCCAGATATTGGGACTAAAACATGGGTTCTCAAACTGGGGGTCGGGACCCCTCAGAGGGTTGCAAGGTTATTATGTGGATGTCGTGAGCTGTCAGCCTCCACCCCAAACCCCACTTTGCATCCAGCATTTATAATGGTGTTAAATTAAAAACACGTTTTTATATATTTATAAGGGGGGGGTCGCACTCAGAGGTTTGCTATCTGAAGGGTTCACCAGTACAAAAGTTTGAGAACCACTGGCCTAAAAGCAGCAGGCTGTATGCTGCTGAATGCAACCTCTAACATGCACCGAACTGCAAAAGGCTATTCTAGAAAGAGGGAGGAGGCTGGGTGCGAAAGTGGGTTTTAGGGGGTTGAGATGACGTAACTGGAATGCTTACATAGGGCAGTGCTAGAGCAATGATCGCTTTCTAAGCGGGGGACATTGCACTTACGAGGTCACACAAGGAAGCAGTGTGAGTTCTTTTGGATGTCTTCTGAAACTCCTGGTAGCTGGCTGCCAATATATTTGCTCTGTGGCTGCTGGATCACATTAGAATCCACTAGTAACATGCTTAAAGGGTAAAAAGTGTTTGAAAACACATTTTTATCCCTGTTACAAATCAACGTTCAGAAGATAAAAATGGAAGGAATGTTAAAAACAAAGTTTACTGTCACCATTTGTGCTGTTTACACAACAGGCAGGTAGACTAATCAGTTGCCCTTTGCTTTGAGTGGGTTTCACTTTTAGGCTCCCTGGCCTTAGTACACCCAGCTGGTCAGCATGTGTGAAAGCAGCAGCAGAATGGCTGCAATGTTTGGGCTGCAGGGGAAAGATTACATTAAAAAATTCTATTATTAAAAAACATAGAAACACAACTATGGTTTAGGTTTTCAAAGAGCCTATTATTCTAAAGCACAGTGGGGGTGAGTTTGTCCTGCCAGTGCCCTTTGCCATTACATGCCCCGCAGAAGAAACATCAGTGCTTGAACTGGTTTACACAAAGAGCTTTGACAGGAGCATGTCCGTGTTTTACCCATTATGAATTAGAACCTGAATCACCATCACACTCACTGTAAGGAGCTCACAGCAACAGAAAGTCCAAGTTCAGACAAACGTACCCATTAAATAAGAAGGCAGTGACACTAGGCAAGAATGGGCCATTCCTCTTCAATGTGCTTGGGTTTCCCAACTGTGAGCTTTTCAGGGCACACCTGACTCCCTGAATTTGCGTGGAGTTGAATATCTTGGCCTTTCAGGCTAGGCCTAGGGAGCCATGTTTCAGGGGTGCCCATGGCAGTTTCCTCACCTTGCACACTCACCTGCTCCTTCAATGGAGAGCTCGCCTATGTCGCCTGCCAGCTTCCGCATGCTGATGGAGGTTGCGTCTCCTTGGATGTCGTGGATAGCGTTCCTCCGCCCAGTGCGATCACAGGAAATAAAGTCAGTGTACGAGGGCTCAATCTCCATTACTTCGCTTGCATTTCCAAATGCATAGGAATCCCTGTGGGGAAGAGACAGTGCTGAGGTAAGGGGTCCTCAGAGAAACCTCGCTACATCCTCTTCTGAGCTCCTCAGGTTAAATGATCACATGGAGTTTAACTGCATCATGAAAAAAAAACAGTTCTGGTTAATTTTGCTTTGGGCCATCTAATACCAGCCACTAGATTTGCAGGAGAACACCCTTTGTTGTGTGAAAGGGCATCTCTAGTAACACTGACCTGTGTCTGGTGAGTGGGGCCAGACAATAAAGATCAGTCTCTTATCAGCACCCCTGTGTGTCTGGCCATTATTACACTCTCTGCAGTTGGAAGCAAAGAAGATGAGGCACTTGACTGTCCCTTTTTAGCCCTCTCCTTTAGGAGTTAACATAATGAGAAATGGCTGCACCCTTTTCTGCAGAAAAAGCTTTATCTTTGCTGTTTCCAGCTACATTCTTATGAGGATAGTCAGTGGCGGCTGGGGGGAGGGGAGGACCTTCTGCAGTGGGTTGTGCACAGAGATGTCCCTTGGATGAAATTCACTACAGTGCTGCTGCCCTGCTATCTTCCACACCAGTCTATTTGGAACAGGTCTGGAGTCCCCACCTCCACCACCTGGCTGCTTCACCCATGGCCCCGTCTGCCCAGCTCCACTTATAGGGCTGAAGTGGTGCAGCAGTCATCATGCTGGGGGTGAATTTCACCTGAAAAACCTGTCTGTGCGCACCACACAACAGAAGACTTGCGACTCGGCTGTGTTTCCTCTGATGGGTATGGAACAGATAGCAGCAAAGAGAAAGTCCTGCTAGCATTTGGTCTAATGTCAGAGCAAGGCATGTGAGGACAGCAGGTTTCATCCTGAGTCTGCAGAGGGAATGGAAACTGGTTTGGTTTTAATGACTTGAGCTCCAATGTTACCGAACCCTGTCCCTAACTTTCCTCTGTTCCTAAAAAACATCATGGGATCTTTGATCCTAGGCCAGATTCAGCTCTTGCACTCAGTGGAGTTCTGCGTGTGTATGCCATGGCTGAATTTGGACCCACAAATCGTCAGGGTGTCTGCTTTCTATCTCCTCTAAAAGGCCCTTGGAGCGGGCAGTGCTAGGTCGTTGAGTCCATACTGATCTCAGCTGACATTTGTTTGTCAGTTTCATTTTGAAATGTATATAATGAAGTGTTCATTTAAACTGCTTGGCGATAAGGAATTAAAGGTGTGAAATTCAAACCTTCCATGATCTTTCTGGGACATTTGACTCTGGGGCTTATTTCTGTGCTCAGCTTCTGAGAACTATTTAGAACGGCCAGATCTTCTCAGCCATGTCAATAACTCCATGAGCCAGCTCCTTTTCTGGTGTGGTTTGTATTTAAGTTGCTCCTTTTCATTTGAGTTGACTGTAACTTGCCAGCGTTTGTACAGCACACCCTGTTCAGAGACTTTGTCAGGCTCTGAGACCATGAAAAAACCACACTGTCTTTAAGCACGGAGCTCGCTGTGAAATTCACTTGGAATTCTGCCTTTGCTCTGGAAATCTGGCACTCTTGATTCCTGTTCATGCTTACTAGGCATTTATTTGGTATATCTGCATGCAGGTAAGAGACTATTAGTTATTTCTCTCTCTGATTCTGAGCCACTGAAAGCAACGGCTTTAACTTAGCTGACGCTGCAAATGCTGTGAGCGGGATCCTGATTACCAGTGCCTTGCTGACTTAAGCTAAAATTCAGTTCCTCAGCACCCACCTGTTTCTATGACTTGTGGTTAAATGCCCCTAAGGTGAAGCTCCGTGTGAGGCGGAAAATGATTTAGTTCCCTCACAGGCTATGCTCAGCACTGAATTTTCGAGCTGCCAAAGATGCCACATTCAGATGGACCCGTGCCAGGAAATGACATCCAGAAAAAGGAACTGCCTCCTGATGCAACTGCTCATTGTTCAGAGTAGCAGCCGTGTTAGTCTGTATCCGCAAAAGGTGCCACAAGTACTCCTGTTCTTTTTGCTCATTGTTCGTAACTCACTTTTTGGCAGTAGCCATATACTGAAATCCGTTCATCTCTTGTCTTGCTTATTCTGCGTTCTGGCTCAGAAGGGACCCGGACTGCCATCTCTCAGGGACTGAGCTGATCTCTGCCTATGCAGAGGATCCTGCCCAGCCTGCTAGGCAGGGTATCGAGTTCTAAAGCAAACAGGCCACTAGGGGAGCCTTTGGCGGCAGCAGCAGCATGCTTACTCCTGTCCCGCCTCAGATCTCACCAGCCACAGAAAGAAATTAAACAGAATTTCCTGGGCACGTGAGCCGAAAAGCAGCTGCAACACTCATGACTGATGAGTTTAAGGGGACACAGCCAGGGCTAAAAACTGACTGCCTCAAAAAGGACTTTCACCTTCAGCAGTACAGATATATTCTTCTCTCCAACCCATGTATCCTGCCAGCAGAAAAATACCCATCAGCCATAGAGCTCCCTATTGCTTGTAATAAACAAAGCAGGGCCTGCTGCCACAATGGCCAGAGCTGCTCTGAAGGAGCCGCTGAGGGCCAAATTCCCCACTGAAGTAAATGGAGCCCCTCCGATGTACTCTAGGGCTGGGGTTAGCTCTGCCAAGCTCATTCCAAGGGCCCACAGCAGTGACTTTCTCAGCTCTGGAAATGCAAGGCCTATTTCTTCAGTATGATACGGCCCCTTTGTGCCGCTCCACTGACAAAAGGCCTTAAACTCAGCAGCCCTGGGCAGCTGAGAAGGGGAGTGGCCAGTGAAAAGGATTGGCAGGAGAGTCTCTCTGCTCTGGCTATTTCCAGGTGCTAGAACCGTCGCTTGGGGCCATAGGAGTTAGGAGAGCTCTAACGCTGCTCTAAATGACTCCAGGGGCTGAACAAGGAATTGCAGAGCTACCAAGAATGCATAAAAGCAACTTTTCCTTTCTCTTTGGGTCCTGCCCTGAACACAGGCCAGCCACACCTGAGAGTCAGGCCCATAGAGAAATCAAAATCATTATCATGTGACCTCAGAAGACTAAAGTGATGGTTTGTGGGGAGAGTTGGGTAGAGAGCTGGAGAAGAAACTGAGGATAAATGTTAAATACTCCTTCATCCTGAGTTTTAGAAGGATGGCTCAGCCCAGCAGCCTCATGGGAAATATTTATAAAACTGGTACGTTTCAGCTGCTGATGTAATTCCGAGTGTTAATGTCGTTTTAGGAAGTGCTGGGGTTGGCTCAGTGGCTGGATGTTGGATTTGAAGAAGGGCCTTTGCACACTTCACAGTAGAATCTGCTTCTCAAAATCCTAGAGTCTGCAAATATTCCAAACAGGAAATGCGAGCTACTGCCCGCAGTGCAGCTCAGGAGATTGGGGAGGGCCTCATCCTGGTCACCTGATCAGGAGAAACTCCCACTGGCTTGCATGGAGTCAGGAGTGCAGGACTGATGTCTCGAGGAAGGAGAGATTGAGTGAAGGGAATGAGACCACTCAGACCTTTCCCTGTGCATTTCACAGAAATCATTGCTAATGGAAGTCTCACTTCAGTGATCAGCTCTGGCCGGCAGAGGGACTGGCTGGGAGTGGGACTGTCATATTGCCACAGCTCTTTCCCTTGGCGATTGTCCTGAGTGTCCGGTTAGGGTGTACGCTCCTCGGGGCAAGAATCTTGTCTCGTTAAAGCACTATGTGCTCTTCTGCTACTCCTTAAATAACAGCCACTGCTCCCGCCCTGGAATATGGCTTATAACGGGAGGTGCAGTGGCTAATCTCATAACCCCAATACGCCTTAGACAAGGAAAACTCCTCTGTGGGAAGATGGCGAGCGGTATGTTTATGGTGGCTTTTATGCTGAAGACTGAAATTCTTCTCCCTTTGCTCCAGCACTGATGCTAGCAATGGAAGAGACGCTAGTATAGACTGGACTTGTGTGTTTTTACTTTCCTGTCATCCCGCCCTGCTCACAGCAGGTCTAGACAACATGCTGGTAAAGCACCAGCAACTGGTCTGCACCACTGGCACTACATCGATGGGGAGCTCTTGTAGCTGAGGCCAAAAGGGCGGCCTCCCCCACCCACCTACAGGGAGAGAAGAAAATAGGATGCTCTTTAACTTACCTCACTTTTCTGAACCTCCCCACTGTCACCTTCCTCCAGCCGATGTAGCCTCTGCAACCACTGTTTTCATGCTTCTGGTTATTCTCTACCTCCTGCCTGGTTTCCCCAGTGCCAGCAGCATCGCTTTCCCTGTAGTCAGTAGTCGGGGAAGGAAGTTCCTCCTCCGGCTAGAATAAGTTCTAGCCTTTTCCCTAGCATGCTGCCATGATAGCTATCAGTTTGCAGGCCTCACCTATGAAGCGCTTCTACCCTCAACCATGCGAGTGACACTTCCCCAGAAGCCAGTGACTCGCTCATTAGTGCAAAGTGCAAAGCCCTGCTGTCCTGTGCAGCATCGCACAGGAGCCTTGGCAGAGCAACAAGCGCATTAGTAACAGGGTCAGACGGGAGCGGGAGGTCAACACGGGAAAGAAATCACATAATTCAAGAGCTATTCACAAAACTGATTGTCAATTCCTGTCAGGAGCCCTCACTTCCTCGCCATTCAGGATTTCCCTGGCTAGCGGCGTTCCCAGGATTCTAACACAGTACTCCAGGCAGGGAGAGGAAAGGTAATGGGCTGCATTCCTGCTCCCCCGGAAAGGGATCACAGCTGCCACTTTTCTCATCTTTCTTTTCCTTTCTCCTTCCACCTCTTCAACCTCCAGCAGTTGGAGGTGCTGGGAAAGCACGATCAGCTATTGCCCTCGCCCCTAGTCGGAGTATTGGCTTTACATAGTAAAGGCACTGAGTCCAAATGCATTAGACCGGGGTCGGCAACCTTTCAGAAGTGGTGTGCCGAGTCTTCATTTATTCACTCTAATTTAAGGTTCCGCGTGCCAGTAATACATTTTAACATTTTTAGAAGGTCTCTTTCTATAAGTCTATAATATATAACTAAACTATTGTTGTATGTAAAGTAAATAAGGTTTTTAAAATGTTTAAGAAGCTTCATTTAAAATTCAATTAAAATGCAGAGCCCCCCCGGACCGGTGGCCAGGACCCGGGCAGTGTGAGTGCCACTGAAAATCAGCTCGCGTGCCGCCTTTGGCACGCGTGCCATAGGTTGCCTACCCCTGCATTAGACCAATGGTTCTTGGTGAGCACAGAATGGCTACTGTTGCGATGGGGAAGCATCTGTCATTGTTCAAGCAGTGATTGCAGCCCAGGCAAGGATTCTTGAAGGGTTTCCAAGGGCTGTTTTGCCCCCTTTGCAGCAGCTTCACTTCTTTCCTTGGCAGGCAAATTTCTTTTGGCGTAAATTCAACCCTGATCCATATTTGCAGATGAAACCAAAATTGAAGGGGGAGGAGAAGCAAACACAGGCATCCTGGGCTAACCTGCAAAGTGTTGGGGGGGGGGGATCTAAGAGCAGTGGGAGAGCAAGCAGGCAGGTAAATACATGGAATGTTCAAAATCTAGGGACAGGATGCAAACAGCCCAATGGAGGGGGGAACCTAATGCAGCACCCCCACAGTGCATTCAAACATTTGCATTTCCATTTGTGTCTTAGCTCTTTCCCAATACAACTTCTTCATGTGCGCATGCCCTATGCAGTAGTTTCTGGAAGGAGAGGCAGGGTTGGCACTGTGGGTGGGACGGGAGGGCTTCACAGAAGGATCTTGATCTCAACAAATTGCCCATGATGTGAGACTAAAGACAAATCTGATCTTAGCATGGACCCTCACTTATTTGCACTGAGGGCTGCATGGCACGTTGTGAATGGCTGGATTCCACAAATCGAGGAGCTGGTGAGAAAAAAGGGCAAGATAATGTAGTATTAGTTGGTTGATGCGCCTGGCAGAATAGTTCTGATTATTTGTGGCAATGCTTCATAATGTACGCTGGAATGTCCTGCTGGTTTGGAAAAGTAACGGGTTAGTGTGTGGAGACTTTGCTCTTGGAGCATTTCTGGGAAAGGGGAAGACACTGTGCAAATCATGGGCAGCGTCGGCTTGGGTTGATGAGGCTCTCCTGAGCTAGATTCCTTGGCCATGCCCTGTCTTGACCAGCAGGTGGCTCACTTGGCTCATTTTCTATTGCATGGCAGGCTTGCTCCTTGGGATCCGACTGGGAATGGCCTATTGGGGAAAGCTTCCAGGAGATCTGTTAAGGCTGTGGGATTCCTCTGGAGACTTTTCATGGGTTCTAGCCCTTTAAAAGCCTCAGGCTGAGCCCCTCTTCATATTGGGAAGCTGTTGCTGTACAGAGAAGCGGGGGGAGCCATGAGACATCACCTTCATTTTGATCTTAGGGGCTGATTTTCAACAGGCAGCATAGGAACTGTGCATGTTGTATCTCTGGGCGGGTGCAGATGAGCGTATAGGTAAATTTCAGTTACTGAAAATGTCTCTTAACGTCTGTCGATCACAAGAAGGAACTGACTTCCCTTCCCTGCCTAGCAGAGATTGGAACCAAAACCAATGTGGAAAACAACAATGTAGTGACGCTAGAGAAACCCAAAGAACACTGGGATCTAGTCTCACATCATAACCTGACCTTTTACCGTCTGTTTCCAATATTCATTTCAGGTCGAGGGGGAGGAGGGAATTTGTAAATGAGACAGACTCTTGCCAAGAACTCCATGAGGAAGTGTGCATGCAGTGTAGCAGTTTATTAAATCCACATCAGTGCATAGAAATCCCTGGGCTTTTGAGAGCGAGAAATATCTCTGACTACCCCAGGAGCAGGGCCGGCTCTGGCTTTTTTGCCGC